TTAGAGGATGGAAGTCAGTGACCCCAGACCATAGCATCTCTCCAACTAATTATGTTACAGGCTGGAGCATCTTCTCAGCCCTTTTCTCAAATGTTTATGTGAAATCATTGTTCAGAGTAATCTAATCCAATTACTTGCTATTTGGAGGAGCATACAGCATCACTAAGGGAAGAACATCATAGAAATTGTTGAGATTCAATGTTGATATTTTCCTTAAGTTAAACCATCTGAACAGAGGAGATAAGCTTTTAGTACAGTGACAAACCTGGATGTTCATTTATTCAACAGATGCTTATTGAGTGACTAAGACTCTACTAAGCCCCAGAGTTGTAGAACCCGCAACTTAGGGAAACACAGAGGTTCACACAAATCATTATAACATGTTGAGATGACAGCTCTTGACATATTGATACCAACTAGTTCTACCTTGTTGCCTTTTATTTTTAGCATCATCATCATCATTGAATGTTTAGAGCCATGGAAAAACACTAAGGACACACTTGTATTTATTATTTTTAACTTGAGGATTTAAACTGATGAGATATTGAGACTATTAATATGTCATGACTTTGTCCAGCATGCAGGTTACCACCCATATCTTGGCTGTATAGTGACAACATTAGCAGTTCTTCAGCCTCTTCTGGCAGCCTTCAGGCCACCTTTGCATGACCCAAGGTACTGATAGCTTTTCTACATAAATGCTCTTACTGTGGATATTAGTTGGCAAACAAATTCCTTTTTGAGTGGAAACATTTTTCATCTTACAAAATCTGGTGATAAATTTAATTTACTTTAAAGAGACTTTAAAATGTATTTCAGATATCTAATTCTCAGGCAATAAGCAAAATTACATGCTTTTTATTCTCTTGGGAACTCATTGTCATTCTGTCACTTCTAAGAAAACGGACTGGTTCTTTATTTTGGCAGAAGGCAAATATTTAACTGGACTCATTGGAGTGTGGGAACAGCTGCTAGAATAATAGCAGGTAAGTAATTGTGATGCCACTTATCCATATATAATTGCTGGCTGTGTATATTGCGAGTTGTAATTTGGCTTAAAAGATTTTTAGATGCATTAGTAATTGGAGTAATTGGTTGTTGAGGAGAAATCAGCCTTAAACATTGAAATCCAGAAAGTAATTTCAAGGGGTAACAATTTAAGTCATTATTTCAGTTTTCAGTTTAAAGTTTTAAAAGTGACTTTAAAACTCACCTTTTAACACTTTCTTTTTCTTTTTATTAGTGTTTACCTTTAGCAGTAGAATAAGCTATCCTGACAAGCAAACATTTGAGCAGTTCAAGTTGAGGGTCATTTGTGAGTTGGGTTGAGGAGAGGCTGTTGGTCCAAGCCTTCAGTCTCCAGGTCACTTCCATAGGTTGGTACCTCCCAGAGGAGGTGGCTTTCAGAAGGCAGGTATGGTTACCCAGTACATTTTGATGCCTTATATAGCAGACCTCCATGCAGACACCTCTCGCTTAACATTTCTGTGGTCTATAGGATTCAGCCTGGAAGA